TTCGAGGGTTTAGAGGGAGAAGCTGAATGTCGGTAACGAATGTGGGTGATGTGTATGCCGAGGGGATTGGGGAGAGAGGGTCGAATCGATGAGAACGTATGCTCATCCCATCGCTCATTGAAGCTGGAGAGCGCGGCATCGGAGCTCTCGGGAGTCCGTGAGGAGACAGCATCTTTCCTGAGCGAGGTGCGATGCTGGTACCAAAAGCATTCTCGAACTCTTGTTGCTGAGCAGGAGAGAGTGTCGGCGGGGATCTTGGTAGGCCATGAGGAGAAAGCATCCTGCCTGAACGAGGCCCATAACAGATACCGAGTGGGCTACTCGCGAACTCTTGTTGCTGGTAGTTGGGAGAGGCCATTATCGGTCTTGAGTTGGGGATGCTACTGTTGTCTAGGGAAAAAGGAAAGAGAAAGAAGCAATTGCAACAATACAAAGGAAATGCTAAAAAGGAAAAGAAGAGAAATAGGGACGAAGGGGGGTTTGGTGAGTGAGGTATCGTCTACTGAAGCCACAAACGCAGAGTTTATATGGACAAAGAACGCTGTGCCTCAGCACCAAAATACAATCACGCAGATAGAAGCAACAAGTCTCAGCGGAAGATGAAACATGGTCGCAACCAAGCACACTGGTCTAGCAGGATGGAAATGCTACAGGATCATGCCATACCGTGTAGTTGCGGCCGCTTCAACCGCTTGGAGAGATTGCTGTTGTTCTGTACTTCACGGCCGTAGCGTGGTGTTGGTACTAGGGATGCTCGGCCAATGACCGCACCAGCGGCCGCAGGGAAACCATCATAGCAGCGAACAGCGTCCCGAAAACTCTTAGCCGAGCGTTGGCAACGACATTTCGGGCCAATAAGGAGGCTTACATTTAGCGCTCCGACCCGGAGTAGATATTCAATGTTGGCGTTTCACAGGGAGAGGATGTCGAGAATAATTTACGATCAACAACGCAGTAGGCTTCACTTGGGGACACAACATGTTGACGACGCAAGATGAAACAATGCCTCTGAGTATTTCTGCACGTCATTGGGAGGGGGAAGAGGTGGGTGCATGGCCATCGATGTGGCCGCAGTATGAGAAACACCCGACCAGTAGTAATGGCTCCACGCAACCTTCGCAAACATATGGAGGTATGACATGCCTTAAGATTCCTCAAGTTGGAAAGATCAACACGTGTCACAGTTTGAAATGTGCGCCTCGTATGTTGGCAAGCAAGAATATCTACAGGAAAGCTCTGGGTTTGATATTAGACGCCGTGTTCCGAGTTGGTGACAAAATATAGAGTATGGAGGGACCCAGGCTCTCCGTGCCTCATGACAGCATGAGGATGTTGGCGATGTTATAGGCGCAGAGATGGACCGAGTCATTTCATGGCGGTCAAAACGATGGGCCCCGCTGGATTCGGCTGTGTGTCTAATGGGGATCCCTCCGTGCATGAGCCCACTGTTCTCAGGGATTTCGAAGAGTGCCAAGTGTGTGAATGTGATATGAAATGATTGGTTTTGGGATTAACTGGGCTTGTTTCCAAATTAAATGTATCATGCATATACAACAAACATTAGACGATACATGGGTACTTTTGATGCTAGTGCTAGTGGCGGCTACTGGAAGGCCCCACTATCAAATACCTCGTATCATGCAGAAGAAAGTGCGCAAAGGAACTTGAATTAATCAGAGCTCGTTTCGTGCGGATTGAATAGCTTTCAGTTCCCTTACCCATCTCTATTCCTCCCCTAAAACTCTGCCTTTCGCTTCCGCACTCCCAATGACCTCAACAACCTCAAAGTCCACCAAATCCTTCCAATTCTCTACCCACTCATCCAACAGCTTCCTCTCCGCCGTTTCCATCACCTGGTAGCAGTGTGTCAAATCCGCGCTCACCCAGCTCGAGATATAGGTCAGGCCTTCAGGGGCAAGCCGCCCTTGATCGCGGAAGCGGGTGTAAATGGGAGTAGGCGGAACAGTGTGGAAGTGTTCGATTATCATGAAAATCATTTTGCTGTGATGAAAATGAAATGAGACGGAAATACGAAAATATTGTAAATATGCATGGAGGGTTGAGGTCGAGGTAGATTGAATACGAGGGCTCCGTATTTGATAAGCCTAACAAGTAAGCATCGGTATTTGCTGAAGCCGCAGCGAGTTCGGAGTTTGCGCTGCGATACGAACTTGTTTTTGAAAACACTCGCTAACTGCTTTTAATTAGATTGCTGGATAGAGGATCATATGCCAACGCCATATTCTTGATTTACGGGCTCATACGGGGGTATTATGCAACGATTCTAACCTTCAGGACTCCTGCAACATCAGAAATTACGATCATTCCATCCGTGCTATCATCCAACCGTCGAGAGAATATCTCAGCCTTCTTAAAGTTCTCTGTTAGGGTACATCAAACCGCTTTTCACTCTCATTACGTTAGTTTCTGTGTCTATTGTTATTATAATTATCGTCTTCTCAGCCCCCTACCTCACGAACTCTAGATCCTTGTCGTCGAAATCCCGTACACTTTTCATCACCGGAATCACCATTTTAGCAACTCCCTTCAGCGCTGTCACCTCTCAAATACGAAATTTGCTTCTCCGCAGTGTTGATATTTCCTTTTGACAAGTTGCCGTGCAGGAAGAAATATCAAGCTTTGCGACCCCCTGACCTTGCGGTCTTACACAGGACATCATGTGGCATTTTAAGCATTGATACTGTATCGCATTAACTCCACAACTTGCCATTGAAGTCAAGTACCATTTTGCTGCCCTCATTACTACAGCTATTATCTCAGAATTCACCCTAGCCTTAACCTTACAGAACATCCCCTACGAGCCAGCGATAGTGGACGCTGATCATGTTTGCAACAAGACATATGTTTAATGACTGGCACAGAATTCTCAGGTAAGCGGCAGTATATCTGGAAACTCTCGAATGGAGGTAGATTCTTCGTCCCGGCCAATGCTGGCGGATGTCCTACACGGGAAACAGCACACCCATCCCCGAGATTCTCGATGTCCTCTACCGCGACGGCGCTGTCCGCGTCACAAACATCATCAGTGTATGACAAGTCGCCCAGATCAATAACGAAATCAAGCCCTACATGGATGCAGACTATAATAGCGGCCTAAATGTATTCGCTAAGCAGACTAAAACCGTCTATGACCTCGCAGGAAATCACCAGCCATCGCCACTGCAACCCTGCAACGGCCGACTATTAGAGGGCTGGTTGATGACGCTGTGACAGTAACGACCGAGAGTTGGTGGGGCGATAGTAGGAATACATGCGAGAGTCCGCCATTATTGAGCTCGTGCTTTACCGTACAAGTGGGTCCGGGGAGTGCAAGGCAAGGATTTCATAGAGATAATCAGGATCATTATGCGACGCATCAGAATGGCAATCCGAGGGAGATGACCATGTTAGGATGTATCATTGCCAGTAAGTTTTTTTTCGCATCCATTGTAAGCCGAAATATGGAGAAACAAGAGACTCACTATCGTATTCTATACAGCTTCCAAAGTAACCAAAGAAAACGGTACCGCAGAACTCGCCCCAGGCTCCCACATCTGGGATGACAAGAGCAAACCCGCCTTCCCAGACGAAATCGCCTTCGCCGAACTAGAACCCGGCGACACCGTCTTTGTCCTCGGCAACTACTACCACGCCGCCAGCGCCAACACGACCGCGGACTCCTTCAGAAGCGTGATTTTGAGCTTGATCTGCAAGGGCATGTATAGGAGCGAAGAGAATCAGTTCCTGGCGGTCGATGCGAAACGGCGAAGAAGCTGCCCTATGATGTGCAGGGCCTTATTGGCTGGAAGGCTTCGGCGCTGTTTTGTGGGTGGCGTGATTTGGATATTCCGAGTGATTTAATTCGGGATGGGTTGGAGTTGGGTAAGGATTTGTTTAGAGTCTTGGGGTGAGTGACGGAAGAATTTTCAAAGCGTATGCTTTCTTCAATGTTTCGAGTTGATGTCTTTACCGTTATGCAAATGGGTAGTGAATGGAATGAGATATTTTCTTGTATTCTTTGTCTATAAGAATATTTTGTTTGGCGTTCTGTGTTCGATTTTGCAACGTTCCTGTCTAGAAGATGGAAGTGGATATATTTGGAGACCGCCATTATCAAGCCTGCTAAAAATCTGCCTCTTCAGCTATGGAGACCTTAGCATAGTAAACTCAAGGAAATTCTCCGCATAAAACCTCAAGGTAATTCATACCGCAATCTTTAAAGCTGCTGATAGTCTCCCTAGCCTGCTCTGGAGGCATCCGCACGACCAACTCGAGTCAAGTCATAAGTCTCAGCAATTGGCCAATTCCACAACCTCGAAGAACAGAGACGGCAAAGAGATGGGTTCATCTCAGCAACGTGAACTCTTTCAGTCATTTCTCTCTCCCAGATCATATTTCACTTCGATCAAACCTTTGTCTCTGCAACATGTCCCTTCACACCACGTTTCTTCCAGAACTCCCTCACACATCTTTCGGCGATTAGATACGCGTTGATCTGCGTATGATTGCATTTCGATACTGGACACACGCTCAAGTCAGCAACTCGAAGGCCTTCGACTCCCACCACACGGAATCGTGAATCGACGCCGCGCATTGGGTCATACTCCGAGCCCATCCGGCACATTGACATGCTGTGGTATCCCCGACCGAGGTTCCCTCTTACAAACTCAAGCATCGTCGAGGTCCATTGCTCGAAATTCGGAGCCGCTGTCGGGTCCATGAACCATCCGTGGGAACACCCTCTTTATACCCCTTCGCTTGAACGATCTGGATCGCGGCCTTTACCGTCTCTATCGCTATTCGTCGGTCGAATGGGTGATTGAGGAATTTCAGATCGATGACTGGAAGATCCATCGGACTGCAGGAACGAAGGGAAACGTACCTTTGAAGAGGTTGATCTGATGTCCTCGTGCCGGGCAAATACGTCATTTAGTGTAGTGCTTGGCGATTCGAGATAGATATATTCTTATATAATTTAAAGTTTTTGGTTTCACTCAACAGGTCCCGTAGCTCAGTTGGTTAGAGCGTGGTGCTAATATGTGACGCCAAGGCCGCGAGTTCGACCCTCGTCGGGACCATTTCTCAATTTTTTTTTGAGCCTCTTATTGTTTTTTGAGCCTCTTATTGTTTTTGGTGGGTCTGGTGTGTTAGGGAGTTTGAGATGGGTTGGGCGAGTCGAGACCTACGATTAAAATGCACACAGCCTTGTCTGTATGTCGACAATAGATAAGCAGCGAAAACCAAACGGTGGACTGGTTATCCGCCCCAAATCGCGCCAAGGACCAGAGGATTTTCACAGCCAACCTAAAAGCAAAGTTCTATGCGCACAATTCCAGGCCATCGTGAACGACAGATTTATGACCTTGCCAGATTGAAACTATGGCTTATCCGTTTGGCCTGAGCTACCCCCATACTTAATCAAAAAGTTATGGCACTCTTTCCTTTTTCAACAATGCCATCCGAGACTTCCCCTGTCAAGGCGCTCAATACTCAACTCACAATGTCTGAAAAGGTTTTATCCACCGATGAACTCCTACTCCAGGTCCAAGGCTACAAAGGAGAGCTGCCTAGACAGTTCTCTGCATTCGTAATGCTTTCCCTGGCTTTCAGCATCACGAATTCTTGGATTGGATACTCTGCTGGTACGTTGTTCATTGGCTTCAACTTATAATTTGGATTGAACTGACCCTAGTCTTTGATGCAGTGTTTATTACTCCCTTGTTTTGGTGCGGCGGCGGACCTACAGTAATTTTTGGTCTCCTAGTGGCCGTAGTTGCCTATTCGTTAATAAGTAAGTCTCGATGGCTTACGATTAAGTCCATTTGAATTGCTGCTAATGTGCATGCCAGATGCTGGGCTGGCCGAGCTCGCTTCTGCCTATCCCTCGAAGGGCGGCCAGTATCATTTCGCCTACATGGTATCGTCCGAGAAATACCGCCCTGTAGTCTCCTTCGTAATTGGCTGGTTAAGTGTAATTGCATGGTCTTACTACAGCCTCTGCCGCCATATTTTGCGGTATGGTACTTTATTCCAGGCCCCTTTGAACAACGAAACTCACCCGAAGCAGCCCAAATTATCGGCAGTTTGGCCACATTTTCCAATCCAAACTATACTGCAGATCAATGGCAGGTATATCTGCTTTACGTTCTGGTTAAGATTTTGGCAACATCCATCGTCTGCTTCCTCCCCAAGGCTATTCCGAAAAGCGAGATTGATTTCTTCATCTGCAACATCACGGCGTTCTTCGTTTTATTTATTACTTGCCTTGCGGTCAGCAGAGGGAAACGGTCCTTCGGGATGGTGTTCACCGACTATGTCAATTTGACTGAGTGGAGCAATGGGACTGCTTTTATGATTGGCGTGGGCTCTTGTATGTACACTTGTAAGTTGAGACCCTCGACGCAAACTCAAGAGCTCTAGGCCTAATTATATGACTACCAGTTGCGGCATAGGCGTTAAGGCCTCGAGGCAGACCACCCCTACTTGTGTACTTGCCCAGCGGCATGTACCCAAAAGGTCCTAAGGTCCTAACCTGAATTCGCTTCTCCAATTTTGGTATGCATTCATATTTATAGAACAGGGTCAATCACAACCGTCTCTGGTTAACGGTCTGCGCTATCTGAACCGCGTCACAAACGCGCGCTTATTAGCCACGAAATCCTCAACACCTGTAACTTTGGAATTCTTTTTCTCCACATATCGACATGCTATATGCCATTGAGGCCCGCCAACAAGCGTTTTTCTTCACGTCCCCAATCTAGGCAGCCGATATTAAGCTCAGATTCTTTTCCTGCCAGAAAGACGTCTCAACCTTTGTGGAGCTCTCCCTCGAAATCACCGGGCTATCGCTACGGACGAGGTCGGGGTCGAAGCTCTCCTCACGCCTGAGAATTAAAACGATATTGAAGAGCACCAATGACGAGGCATGGTGGAACAGCATGTCGGAAATGCAGGACAAGAGGGAGAAGATGCGACAAGGCACTTCCAGCATGTGGCTCTTGTGTTGGAAAAGGGATTGAATGTGAAGGATACGTGCTCAGGTGGGCGGGTTTAGCCTCACGAGGGAAGAATGCTGGCAAATCTGTACCGGTTACGAAGGAAAGTAACGCGGTGAATAAGCATAAGAGGACAAACCCACAAGCAGCTCACAGAACAGCAGACAGTATGCCTACCGCAGAAATAGTTGAGCCGTCTGTTGCGTCCCCAGTAGCCGACCGTATAGAGCCCTTTGCACAGGAATAGCCCCAGGATTCCAACTCTACGTTTTCCATCTTTCCACTTCAGGAAGGAGATACCTCTAACACAGCCAACTGTAATCAAGCGTACTTGACTGACTCGGACATGAACATGGTTGGCGTTAGCCACCTTCTATCATACCTTAATACAGCCGCCACGGATATTGCAGACTTCGCGTATTCAATTGATCCATTCGAGGCTGCCTTTGATCTTGAAGCATCTTTATCGGATGACATCAACGCACCGGACTATTTCGGCAGCTTGAATACACAACATGTAGGGTCAAACTTCTTTATCTGCCTCCCCGCCTTCAACGCCAGTCAAGAGGAAGAGAGTACGACGACTTCTAGCTCTCGGCCTAGTGTAGCAACAATCACGCATTCCCTTGATGCATTTTCTAATACAATCCACGAAAACCGATTTCTTTTGATATATCAGTTGCTTGAATTTGCTTCCAAAATGAGTATGGACAACAATGCCATTCAAAATCCATGCAGGTCTTATCTTCTTCCTCTTACGCACCAGTCTCAAACGCTGCTCTACGCTTGTGGGGTACTAGCCGCTTGTCATTACAATGTCCGCCTCTCGAACGAAATGTTCCATTTCGAGAGCTTTGAGATACAGAGGCCAAGCCATGAAATTATTGCGAGAAGGCCTTTTTTCTGTGGAGAGGGCGAGGGATCCAGCTACACTGGCAGCTATTTTGATGCATACAATGGCTGATGTAAGGAAACCTGCTAGACAGAACGCAGCACTGTAGCTGATTTGGCGATGACAGATATGGCTTGGTGGAGTCGCAAAGCTTGACGCGCATTTCCAAGGAGCAAAGAAGCTCATTGAATTGCGTGGATCCACGAGGATACCCGGCAGCTTCGTCGAACAGAGTTTGGCATGGTACGCATCCTTCTGTCTCTGTACAAGACTCTATGCTGACTTTTGGTAGGCTTGACACCATGGCAGCAGCCTCACACTCCTGCAAGCTGGTATTCTCGACTGAACATATTAATTCATTTCCCGGCGATTCCGGCTTCCAATGGAGCTATGATGTCTCTCCCTGTCCTCTCGATCAGTTCGAGATTGTACACCAAATCGTTGACCTGTATAAATCTCAAGTTAATCCCGAATATCTCACGAAAGAAGTCCTAGATGCCGTTGCTTTTCTGAAAAAAGCCATGTTGATGAGTCAAATGCACACGGAAAGGGAAGAGAACTGGCTTCATCTGACTGAGGCTTACCGACATGCAATTGTTCTATACATGCTTCGTTTGTTTCACTGCGGCGACGATCAGGACAAAATCGAATGGCTGGCCCACAACGTCTTTTACTCTGCTCGCTGCACTCCGCCTTCGACAGGTTGCGCAGATCAGCTCTTGTGGCCGTTATTCCATTCGGCATTAGAGATCAAAGACGAGAGAAAGAAAGCTTGGTTAAGGGAACGAGCTAAGCTCATGCAACTTTCAGGAGGATTCCGAAACGTCGAAAGTGATGTGAAGATTATAGAGAAGGTTTGGGCGGGATCCCGACCTAAAAGCTACATGGACCTCATAGCGGGTGATGGGACAGACAATCTATTGTTGATGTGATTTCAACGACGTCGAATATTGGATTCCTCGGCCTTCCGTCATCGATCAAACCTCAGCTCTACAACGCACTCAACCTGACAAGGACGTCCCAAACGAACAATAGCCCGCCTTCCTGTAAGCTCCATGACGATATTGAATAGAGATCCACCCATACCCAGCGAAGTGGGCTCCCAACGGCAAATGCTGCATGGGAAGCCTTCATGATCATCAAATAACTGAGAGAATTCCTCCCATGATAGTCCAGTGGTGTTTCGCCCCAGCTTCGTTGCCAGTGCCTTAATGCGTTCGACTCGGGTAACCGTATCTTTAAGCCACCCTGGCTCCTCAACTCCTTGATGCCTTCCTAAAAGGTGATTGGAATGGTAGACACGACCATCTGAGTCTATCGGCAACTATCAAAGGCCTTGCACGTAATTTTGAGACCACAAGCACCCTTGGAATCAGCAATCAACATATATGCTGAACTGGCCATTCCCACCTTTTCCAGAGCTTGCATTACTACTTCAGCTAACGAACTTTTGAGCGCCAACCGAAGGCCCAGGTGAACCGGCAATCGCGAGTCGTCGAGGCCCTTTGCCTAAATCGCGTTGAAGCACACTCCCACGCCACACTCATTGAGTCCTATCTTTCAAATGATACCAGCCTCTGTTGTCATCTTAATCGCTGGAATACCTTCACTTCGAATCGTCAAAAGTATCAAATTCACCTTCTGCTCTTCCATCCACTGTTTCGAGTCAGCCTTTTCAGATTAGGTCCGCCACAATAGACTGATTGAACCTACATCCCAATTCTGGCCAATGAATGATTGCGTCTCGGCCTTCCAAGACAGCGACGTACATCCGTCAGACCATTGCCCAAATGCAATCTCCGTGCGGACGTGTAATGCGATGATATCTAGAACGTCTAGGTTCGCTCCGTGGGCAATATCTTGCATTTCTTGATAATATTGTGGCCACTTCTCACTGATTCTATCATTAAACACACCTGCGGTGCCACGAACTTGGTCCCAATTCTGCTTGCTAGTGAGTCTGAAGAGCTTGGTGTAGAAAGCGATGCTTCGCCCGATGTGCTCTTTTGCTGCTCGGCCATGTTGGAGACCGATCTGGAATTATCAGTTTGAGTTTCATTCGAGAGTTTCGTAAGCTCACCTCGTACGGCATCCCGGAACACTCGACGTGAAGCATTTTCTGCTGCGTTGTTGGATGCGTTTATGAGTTCGTACAGTGAGCTCGCTGATGGAGGCGATAAAGATATGACGT